AGTCGAAGCCAAGATGCCCTTGCAAAAAAAGCGTAGGATACAAAAATGGGTAATAATCATAGCGCCTTTTGTATAAATGGCGGAGAAACTGTTTCTGCACCTGCTCCAACATGAGGTTATATTTCTTCTCACAAGGAATCCAAACAACTGAGTTTGCCTCCGATATACTTCGTACTAATGATACGTAGTGCGTGCAGGTGGCCCGGTCTGAGAGATGAGAGGCATATTGGAGTATAAACCCCAGTGGTCGATATGCTATCGACGTAACTGACTCTATGTGCGCATGGAATGTCAGACGACTATTGAAAACAACTTCAAGATCACGTACTTGTGCTACTCCTGTAATCGGCATACTTCCTAACAAAGATATAAACTCACGCGGTTGTGGAGACCGCGTAAAGCTGATCACCTCACACTTTGCAAGGTTGAAGTATAATTTATTATTTTTACCCCAATCGTACACTCGGTCAAGATCCCTCTGCACCACAGCATCGTCTCTACCATTCACGAACTTGATCAATTTCACGTCGTCAGCGAACAGGAGCACGGTGGAATTTTGTACCATCTCTGGGAGATCGTTGATCATAAGAACAAAGAACAATGGGCCCAGGTTGGAACCCTGACCAATTCCGGAAAGCGTTCGATAGGGACTTGACACAAGCGGCCATATTTTACGAATTGCTCTCTATGAGACAGATAACTTGCAAATAATTTAAGAAGTCTCGGCGAGAAACCCATAATCCCTAGTTTTAGCAATAACACGTCATTGTCAACCCTGTCGAACGCCTTTGGATAGTGGAGGTAAATAACGTCCACCTGGCTACCTACACACATCAAAAGTGTCTAGGGATCAAGTACGTTTAAGAGTAGGTATTGCTGCAATTAGGGTTAATTATATTAACTTTTTTGTATCGCTATTGATACTTTTTAGTGAGTTTTAACATTTAAATAAGGAATATTGTTTAAAATTCGATAATAAGAAGAAAATCGATTGTCAATGTGGTTTTGTATAAAAATGAGTTATAGCGTTTTGACAAAATCATTACAATATCTGCATCGGAACCGAAACAATTTACATTATTATGGAGAGACGACATCATTTAACCCGAGAAGTGATGATGCGAGCCGTCGGAATGTTGGAAGCTGGTTCTAGGCAACGTGCTGTGGCTTTCACTCTTAACACTACACAGAGCGTCATAAGTCGCCTCTGGACGCGCTATCGCATGACGGGCAGCGTGGCCGAGCGACATGGAGGACGATCTCGCATCACGACTCGCAGACAGGACCGGTATATCCAAAATACTGCTCGACGGAATCGTACCATGACCGCCATGATGTTGGTTACGAGGCTCCACAGCTCCTCAGGCTTGCTAATAAGCGATCAAACAATCCGAAATCGTTTACGTGCAGTGGGTCTGCGTTCCCGAAGGCCGCTCAGAGTTCAACCTATTGCACCCTGCAATCGCAGGACCCCTTTACGATGGGCTCGCGAACACAGAAACTGGGAGGAAGAAGACTGGCGCTATGTGTGCTTTTCGGATGAATCCCGCTTCGGTATGAGACCGGATACAAGACGTACTCGAGTTTGGAGAACATCTGGACGTCATGAACGTTTGAGATATTGTCAGGAAGTTCATCCATATGGTGGGGGAACAATAATGATATGGGCCGGTATTTGGATCGGCGGAAGAACCGATCTCATTTGGATCAGGGGTAACCTCAATGCTCAAGTTTACGCAGAGAGGATTGTTTCAGATGTTATCATCCCTTTGCGAGGCCAGTTGGGTGATTCATTTCAACTAATGCATGACAACGCACGTCCACACACGGCTAGAGTCGTAACACGCATTCTTGCCGAAGCTCGTATCAACGTTCTGCCGTGGCCTGCTCGATCGCCAGACCTCAATCCAATTGAGCACGCATGGGATATGCTTCAAAGAAGAGCTGTGCCGAGTATGCATACCGTACATACTCTACAACAATATTTTGACTTGTTACAAAACACATGGGCGGCCATTCCTCAAAGTGATTTTGATGAACTCATCTTAAGCATGCCAAATCGCTGTAATTGTGTGATTCGTGTTAATGGTGGAAATACAGATTATTAATTTTCTTATCTTTACAATAAAAATGAGCAAAATCATCATTTTCGCCATTTTTTTGTCATTTAATTGACGCCGTTAATTTGAGTTTTTTCCCACAATTTGCAAAAACATCAATTTTAGTTATTTTAATTAAATATAAATGTAAGCGGTTAAATAAAACCTAAGCATTAAAGTAAGAAGTCGTCCTGGAAGACTGGATTTGGTAAATATTGCTTAAATAATTTTTATTTCAAAAATATTCACTTGATCCCTAGACATTTTTGATGTGTGTATTTGTATCTCGCTTGATATGTATTGTATATTGTTATTGTTTTTGTTGGTAATTTATTTTATTGTTTTCCAAGTGTAAATAACCATAAGCTACCACATAAGCTAGTCTTCACGTAGCGTTCACGGCCTGCACTATTATAGTGGTGGCAACAACAATATCTAGGTCTCGAATCCCGCAAGAAACATCGGACAGCTGACCACCCGTGCGGCCTTTATGCGGATACCTATATAAAACCTCTGATATAAATTTGCGTTTGTTTCGCTTTCATGATATTATTGTTTCTTACGATTAAAAGTTCCGAAAATACCAAATGTTTGTATATCCATTTATTTATTAATTAACGTTACACAGACAGCGACACATTTTGTTACCGATATTCATACAACCACATTTATTCAATACCGCCAGAGCGCTTCATTTAAATGCATTAGACGCATAACTATATAAAAATAAAGCTATAAACAACAAAGTTCCAAAAAATTCCTTTTTTATTACAATTTGTCTCATAAAATAAAAATTATTTAACGCTAACGCGCCATTGTTTTGCCTCGTAGGCACGGAACGGAATAAACTACATTAAGACACTACTTATTGTTCGATTGCCTTATAACTTGCCGTCATAGCAAGGTACTAAGTTGTTGGCCCTAATCGTAAAAAGTGTTTGTATTTATCTTTATTGCGCAGTCGAACTGTACATGTCTACTAGTTTCAAAGCCTAGGTAGCGCCAGTCGTATTACTGACCGTTCTCATAGCGAATATCAAAAATTTATTATGGAGAGTTCTCTCTTCATAATGCATTTTTGATCTGAAAGATCAGACGTGTATTAACACACGAGATGCAATCTAAATTATGATGAAGTAGGGTAACCAATACAAATATTTCCTGACTTAGCATAACCATTGCCTTATTATTATTATATTGTCTATGCCGACATCTTCTTTTTCGCTGCGAATGCGCCGCCTAAGAGAATAACCGCCGCGGCGAGCAGCCACCAATAGCTCCAAGAACTGTAAAAAGACATAGACTAAATAATGCCACCGTTAGTATTTCCTTACACCCCTGGAATTTGCAAGGAAATACTAACGGTACAATGACACGGAAAACCGCGAGCCAGACCACTACATAGGTAATAAGTACAGTGTATAAACAAATAACCAAAATCACCATTGAAAATACGACCTCGTGTGGCCTTTACAGAGTGACATTTGTTATAGCTTATTGGTACATTTAGCTGTTCCTGCATATTCCCACTGGTGGAACGATAAGCATTTTGTCAGCAGTAAATTCAGGACTAGAAAGAAATACTCAAAAAAGGTAATTTAAAAGGGCAAAGATTGAGTTTTATTTGGTCGTGAAAACGTTTAAAATCAGAAAAAGATTTTTGCTCCTTTTGTAGAAAAACATTTCTTACACTTAATTCTATTTTATTATACTTACACTACACACATTAATGTACAACTACTTACATATTAATTACCACTAATTAGAATTAAGTCAACCTGTCATTATTTAGTTCCTCGTGGTATTTTACGATATACGCAAATTTCAGGTAAATAACTGCTGAGTTAAGAGTCGCTACTAGAAAAAACTATAAGTAATAGCCAAGTATAGAATCTACAGTTTACAACATTTTTTTGTAGAAGACAGACATAAATCCCCAACTGAATTTTATGTTCGTGCCATTGCAAGTACTAATAGATTTCTATTTATTTTCTGACAAAGCGAGTTGAGAGTGGTTTGGTGTGAGAACAGGTTGCGACAAAAAATACTTATTTAAAAAACCTTCGTAGGCGCGTTGCATCTACATTCCAATATTGAATTAATCATTCGTACTTGCTCACCCAGACATCAACTCAGCCCGACAGAACCAAAACGTAATTCTAAACAGGTTTTCTGACTACTTAATTCACCTAACTGGTTCAGGTTCGGTTTCGTCGCACGCCAGGACTTTTCCACGTCTAAACAAACACAAACATTACTTTACCAAAGGAGTTAATACTGTGGGGTAACCTTCCGCATGGGTGTCCTCGGGGTCGTCTTCGAACAAAAAGGAAAATCTTTTTTGAACATTTTCGTAGTGTAATCCCGTGAACCAACGGCTTAGTGCTTGTATGTAATGCAAGGGTATGATTTGTTACGATTTATTCAGAGATATTTCAAAACTGAAGAGAGGCATATATGTATAGGTGTTTGTCTGGTTCATCTGGGTCTTTTGATCACTTTCCAATGTCGTAAAAACTCTGGCGTAACTAATTAATTAAATTTTTTATACGTTCACAGGTTTGTTAAAGTAGCTGTTTGCCTAATCTGCTGGTAGATATACCTTTGCAATAAGTGAGCATCCATGCTATGTACATTTGTTATAAGGGTCTGGTGTACATAATATTTTTGAAGGAGTTAATGGGCCATCGGGGAATCGGCACTCGAGTTATTCAAAAAACCTACCCACGAATGAGTAATGCACCGAATTGAAGAAGGTACTATGTAAGTATATAAATCTCATATACTTCCAAGTACGAACACAGAACCAAAATATAAAGTAAAGAGTAAAAATAAATGAAAACCTTTCTCGCGGGACCACAATGGCTACTACCCTTGGTTCAGCTTTAGGATGATGATGTCCAACACTCGCTTTTGGTGTTAGTGATCTGCGATTTAAACGAAAATCAATTATTTATAGTACTATCACAAAATTATGCCGTTATTATCCGTTACTATTATCGTACTGTTAATACACTATTGTATTAACTCAAAAAGAGGACTTTCTCAGAATCGATGAAAAACGAATTACTCACTTCCCGCAAAAAAAATGTTATAGTTTATTATAAACACTTAAACAATTTCTCAAATATATTAAAAAATAAAATGGAAAAAATCATTTCATGGTTGCGAATAAGGATTATTTTGGCCAGAACTAGCTCACATAACGTGTGTCTCATTTTGAGCTAAGTAGATATCTTTTGATTGTTTCTTACAAAATTCTAACGACCGTTTTTTTGACGTGTAGAGAATCAAATTTTACGTTCAGTAATGATATAATTATTTAATTTCACATATTTTGAGTTACAACACTATTGTAATAGCAGTGCGATATGTTGTTACAGAGTTCCTAACATTGATAGAACTAACTAACAGGTATATTGCAGATATTTTTTTGGTTTATTGCAACGGCTTTTCTATGTATTATAAATGAGGGACGCCGAAACTGACAACGTCGAGAGCAAATCACACCGTGTGAGTGTCCCATGGCATCTTTGATTGTATTTTCAAAGACCTACCCACCAACGACAACACCACGGTGTGAATGTGACTTCTACAATTTTTATTTGCACTTAACTATCGAAAGTAAGCTATAATAACCCGATAAAACACGTGTTCACGCCAAGTTAAGTTTCAAGAAAATAGGTGCTTAATGGCAAGAAAAAGGACTGAGTTGCAGCAAGTTTATGATAATAATAATTCTTTATTTAAACAGAAACGTTACATTCCATTGTAAGGCCCTGACTTCCGAGCTACGTTCAATGACCTGTGTTACGGAAATACCGCAATATACTTGTTATGTTATAAGTTGACGTGGAATTTTAATGAGGGCCTCCTATGAAATTTTTCCAACTTCTTCACATAAAAAAATGTTACTGGTGTCGAGTAATTTACGATACTTCGTGTGGGCTTGAGCAACCGAAATCATTTCATATATTTCCAACTTTATATACGTATTTTTTAAATTAAACGAACTAAGTAATTTAATTAATTTAATCTTCGAGTCATTCGTTATTTTTAAATGATTTTTTCAAATGTTCGTTTTCTTCGTCCTTCACTTAATTTTTTTGTAATTTTCTTTAGTACGAAAGACACGTTTACGTACACGTTTACACGTTTATAAACCGCTGCCTATTTGTCATCTTGATATGAAAATAAAATTCGAAATAAATTTTGTCACACAGATAGTCCCCCTGAAAACGATTCTCATCGTATATGTCATCGCGAATTTGGTTTATTCCTATTCAAAGAAATTAATACTTTAACATGAAAGTAGCAGATAGTTGAAATCTTATGGACCTGCCCGCTGAATTCAACTTGAATTTTTTCTCTCTCACGAAGTTGACGATGCCACACACGAAATTTCGCAACCCTATATCTAAATCATGTAGTGGTAGGAATTTTGGTACATAGGCATTCCGGAAATGGGTTCTCGGGACATTTATGGGAGTATTTTAAACCAAATTCACCATAGTCGTACAACTTTTAATTTTTTAATTTTAGCCTTATTATCGACTTGGGTAGAAGTAAATTCATAAAAATATTTTTTGTTTAACACAATTAAAATTTATATTTTTCACCGTATGGTCACTTCAGGTTATCTATGTTAATACTTATTTAGTAAATCATAACAGGTTATGACTTTAAAAAACAGGATTTTACTGCAATTTTTAAACACTTCGTGCTTGTTAGGAATAGTAAGAGATTTTTTTACGCTCATTAAACCTATATCGACTTTTGCAAGAATGTGTTAATGTAAATTTTCGTATAGGTACATTCAATCATAATTATTACTAAGTGCATATGTACATAGGTGTACAGCAGTGTCAAGTTGAGTTAAAGTAACATCGGCCGCTGAGAACTTGCGGTGCGCCGGCACCGGTCGGCCTGATTCCCCTTTCGTGCTACACGGTCGCAGTACTATTCGGCAAAGTGAAAGAGCTCTTCTTCGTTTGTCTTTGAAATCGCGACGCGGACGCTTTCGCCCAGTCTACGCCTACTGCGTTATTTAGAAAAAAGGTTTTCACGTTTATTTTTTGTATATGTTACCGGAAATGTATGTAATCCGTCATTGTATACAATTCCTAGGAAATGTATACAATTCCTAGGAAATGTATACAATTCCTAGGAAATGTATGTAATTCCTAAAATCGCACGGAAATGTGTAAAATAAATTATATTAGACACATTTCCTAAATAGCAATCGGAAATGTAAAACATTTGAGATTTCAATGGATACGCGGGGATAGCGGGGCGAGGGGAGGGTATTGCTTCGTCTGATCAGGCGATCGCGCTAGTGCCGCGTAAACTGTCAGTGCGTACGCGCGTCGCAGTCCCTCTGAGCAGAAACGAATCGGATTATTTAGGTTAAGTTAGGTTTTTTTTTATACAAACGCGGAAGTCCCTCTGGGAAGAAACGAATTGGACTATTTAGGTTAAGTTAGGTTTTTTTTTATACAAACGCGGAAGTCCCTCTGGGCAGAAACGAATCGGATTATTTAGGTTAAGTTAGGTTTTTTATACAAACGCGGAAGTCCCTCTGGGCAATGAGTGCTTTAATAAAAAATATTATTCTCATTTTAACAACGTGTTTTATTACAGAAAGCATTATTTTTATACATTTCCTAATACGATATTGAAATTATATACAATTCCTAGGAATTGTACACATTTTCTAGGACATTTAACAAATAGTTTTTGAAACAATATTTTATACATTTCCTAGATAGCTTCGGAATTGTATACATTTCCTAGGATTTGTATACAATTCCTAGATTTCATACATTTCCGGTAACATATACATGAGTATTTTGTGACATAAAATAAAAGAAACAAAAACAGACCTTTGAGAAGAACCATCAAAAGATTGAAACGAACAGCAGGTGTCTAATCTCCTTTTCCTCGAGTGCCCGGCGCAGCTACTACTTTTAAAAAATTATATTTGTTAGGTACTTACTAATGTCCTAGGTGATTTAAATTTCACTACAGAGTCGACTAATGAATAAAAATCTAATTCATAAACACTTTGGCAAATATTACTTTTCTTGGAGATAAATATTGGATGCAGTTTGAATAAAAGGTATATTTCACAAGACAAGACAATTTGTTTTCATGTAAATCGCGTAACTAGTCAATTTAGAATGTTCACTCACTAAACTAATCGCACCGGGAATCGAACCCGAGACCTCTTCATCTAGCGCCCAGATTACAAATCGCTACTGGGCCGTTATTAGAACATCAGTCAGTCAGTCAATAATTCAAATGACACGGTAGTATTTACATTAAATAATTTTAGCCTTGTGTTCCGTGCAACACAGCGTTGAATCAGCTGGGCATCAAACAATGCTCGTTATTGGTCGCGGATTATTTACAGTGTCTTGGCGCCCTTGGGAGAGGTCAAATCGAACTCAGATTCTTACAAAATAAATTAAATCCAAGTCAGTTAAGACATTTAACGATAACTTTACGTTGTCAACTGAGAGCATCATTATATCAATCAAAGAGACATCAAGCCAACGAATCAAAGAATCATAATCTCAGTACAGAGTACTAAAAAAACCGACCTCAAAAGTACGTGGAATTACGTCTATTTGCTAAGTTTTATTGAAATATCCCCTAGTTCGCCACTATACAGGACTTGACACTGGAGATAATAAAAATCGGTTCTCACTACTCAAAGTATATTGAGAGAAAAACGCCTTGAATTGGAGAAATAGCAAAATCAACCATTAAAGTAATTGCTCCTAAATTAATGTTAGGCGCTATTTATGAAAATGAATCTTCATGCGTGAACAGCCATCCTTCGAGGTGGATGATTTTCTTCTAAATGAAATGGGACACTATGGAAGTACCCCCTTTCCAACAAAAAAAGAATCATGAAAATCGGTTCACAAATACCGGAGTTATCGCGTAACATATACAAAAAAAAAGAAAAAATAAAGAACATACAGTCGAATTGAGAACCTCCTCCTTTTTTGAAGTCGGTTAAAAAGACCAAATAAATGAAAAACAAAATGGAAACAACCTTGACTTGTCTGGGACTCGGACTTTACAACTGAAAAAAGAAGATAATTTTATCTTACAAAAATAAATCTAATAGATTTTGATTGGTAGATTTTCCTTCTCAACACAAACTATAAATAAATTGATAACATAAGTAGGTACACTAACATAGCACTAATTAAATTGTACTGAGAGTCACGCTTACACACCAGACATATGGAAAACGGAGTTTGTTACGCTATCTACAAATATGTTGCGTTATTTTTATTTATTCCTAAGGTTCGTGCACTAAAATATGTCGCCCACATTTTGACGAAATAATAAAAATACACAAATTACCCATCGGCTTAAATCGTGAAAAGTGAAAATGTCTTGCTAGAGTATAGGTTCCTAAACTTTTTCGGGCTCACCGCCCACATAGGCAAGATAAAATCATTTCAACGCTCACCAGCACAAAAAAATATTGAAAACACGCATTTTTTATATTAATTTAACACAAAAAATCACAACGAAAAAAATACATGCGTAGTGTAGTTCATATAGATAATTCAGGTTTTTTTTTTCAAATGCGGTAACACCCCCTGGGGTCCTACCATAACCTTTCAAAAAACAATCTTATTTCAATGTAAGTTTATAGAGCTTATTATAATATGACTCATATTCGTACCATGACAAACCTATCTACCAAGCAAGTAATGTATTACTGCTGGAGTGACTGAAAGAACAAATGATTTCCCAATATTGTCTATTCCTTGCTAAAAATAGAAAAGAAATAACGCTATATGAACTGTATAATGCTATCTCTTTTGTTTTCTGGTGTTCCGAATAATGTATAATGTTAAAGTACTTAATATTGTTTATATTCAGAGAATTTCGACTGCCAAAAAAAGAAAAATATGTTATTAACAAACAACACAAAATTTGGTAATTTTATTATCGCTGGCAACACCAGCATATGTTGAAACTAAAAAATAAACTTTAATAATATAAAAAAAAATGTTTGAGTTGGCGTTTATGATTGAAACACCATGAATTATATTCACTTCACTTTTTATTTTTATGGCTCCATCAATATGAGAACTGATGATTTTGCCAATGTCACAGTTGAAAGAAAAAAAACGAAACAAAAAAAAATTTTCGCTAAGCTCTAATAGGACATTAACCGGTGTTGGTAAGTTGGACTACGGGAGTACTCAGTTGAGAATGTAAAACAAAACAGCAAAACAATATTTATAAATATATGTTATTTAAGTGGATAAATTTACATAGAGTAACAATATGGGGGGAGAACACTAAAGTTAAGAGGTTGTTTATGTTAATGGGGCGGGGGAATTTTGGAGAAAGTAAGTTATAAAGTGGAACAGCAATATTAGGACAATTGAAAAAAATGTGTTCCAAGGTACCGTCTTCTAGGCCGCACTCGCACAGAGAGTGATCTCGAACTCTGATTTTACGCAAAAATACAGGTGTGCAAACATGGCCTAAGCGCAAACGAATAATAGTGGAAGTGATGTTTTTAGGCAAATCACGACGTTTAAAAAACCAGGGTTTAGTGGGTAGATTTGGTTGGAGGTTACCATAGTGTCTACCAACAGTTTGTCGTGATTCCTGCCAAAGGACCGACCAGGAGGCTAGCATTTGGGGTTTGGTCATGGCGAGCAGATCTCTGGGAAAGCACTTACAGTATTTGCATACGCCAATTCTTGTCGCATCCTTTGCAAAGGCGTCTACTGCTTCGTTGCCACTAATCCCACTGTGACCGGGAATCCAGGCCAGAGTTACCTCAATTCCCGCACAATGACATCGGTACAGAGCTTCCTTAATTTGGAGGGTGATGGAGAAATTGTCTTTGGAATGAAACGGTAGCTTAATAATGTCTTGGAGGCAACTTAGTGAGTCTGAGAAAACCAAACATTTATTAATTTTATGGGACTCAATATATAAAATGGCTTCGAGTATTGCAATTGCCTCTCCCGAAAAGACCGAATTCAGATAGGGGGATTTAAAACTGAGTACGACATTGAACTTGGGGAACCAAACCGCGGCTCCCAAGTCGCCATGTTCGTGTAATTTTGAAGCGTCGGTAAAAACAGTAGTCCAGTCATGCCATTCTCTCTCAACTATATCGTTGAAGACTTGGTTTGCTCCAGGGGTATCTTTCATGATGCCAAAACTAAGATAGACTGTTGGGCGAAACGTTAAACATTTAAAATCAGTTTCAAACAACGGGTTCATATAATTTCGGTAAATAGGGAATGGGAGATTGGAAATTTTGTTAAAACTGTTGATAAGAAGGGGGGGGTTTCTTGTGTGACCAATAGTTGGAGGAAGGGATATCTCCGACAAGGATTGCAATACGGGAAGCAAAGGGTGAGAAGAATATTGAAAGATCTTGAAGAGGAATCTATTAGCAAGGAATTGTCTACGTAGATGTAGAGGGGGCTCCAGACATTCGACTTGAAGAGCGTTTGTTGGTGAGGATTTCATGGTACCTGTGATTATTCTCAGGCATCTTGCCTGGATTCTGTCCATCTTAGCCAAGGCTATTTTGTTGCATGGTTCCAGAAGGAAGCCGCCATAATCAAAATGACTTCTAATGATTGCGTTGTACAGGAGCTTTTGGTTATACGGATGTGATCCCCAACGAACACCAGAAAGTGCACGTAGGACATTTATGCTTTTTTTCAGCTTTTTGACAAATATAGTTGAGGTGATGGATGCCAGATAATTTTGAGTCCAAAATAATGCCTAAAAATTTTACTTTTTCCCTCAGTTCTATGTTTTCCCCATTAACATGTATTTCAGTTTCAGTAAGGCGTCTCTTGCGGGAAAAAACGACAGCTGTGCTTTTGTTAGCTGAAAGAGAGACGCCGTGATCGGTAAGCCAAGAGTCTAGGTAAAAAAGGGCAGAGTTGAGGCGTCTTTCAGTATCTGAAAAAGATTTGGAACAAGCGTACAGGGCGATATCGTCTGCATATTGCAAGATTTTGCAGAAGCAATTGACTGAAGTGCCGAGGTCAGACGTGTACAAGCTGAAAAGGAGAGGGCTAAGAACGGAACCTTGAGGCAAGCCGTTCCAGACCATACGGGAGGGGGTTGTGGAA